GGATGGATACTTTAGGTTAGTCAACTTATATCAGATTTCATACAAAGATACATCATTCCATTTAGGTGCAATGGGTTTTAATTATGTTTGTCTTGCATGGCCTGCATAGTGGCTATCTTATTTACTGTGATTGAGAGTGTGGTTGTTAAAAGGGTTTTGAGAATTATTTTAGTGAGAGAAAGTGTATTTAATCCTTTTAACCCCAACCCTTCTTTTCTCCATATTTGAGTGAGTGTTTGTCACTTTTATCCACCGGAGTCCTCATTGAAGGAAGGAGAAATCGGAGTTTCAATCAGGGGAGACGTCCAAATTCTGAGCAGCTCTGCTCCGTGGTCATTGTCTGCACGAGTTTGTGACAACTAATACCTGTTGAGGGAATTTTCAAGGTAAGCCATGATAGGAGGTTGAGTTGAAGAAGTTTTGATTGTCTTTTTTTTAATCAGCACTGATTAGTGAACTTCTCCTGGATTGGTATCCCCCGGATATAGAATTGTTTATATCCAAACCGGGTAAACAAAACTTTGTCTCATTTACTCCTTTGTATTTCTAAATGCAATCGGTTGGTAGTAGGGTGTTATAACTGTGATATAACTACGCTTCGAGAGTTGGCCCTTGTTTAGATGTTCGAAGGAGTTTTGGTGCAACACCTTTTCCCCAACAAAATTGTTTGGAATAACGATCGAATTTGTTTTGCTTCAACATAAATCTCACATTTATATTTATGTACTTGAAATATTGGAATGTGGTTCAGGTTTATTAATCGACGTCTTGAATCATAACTAATATGACTCAATCAATTATGTCATAAAGTAGAGGACTTAGCAATATAAAGAACAAAATTATTTTTAGGTAAAATTGATTATAACTTACTTGCGATTTGAAAATTTTGCACCATTCTCTTTTATGGTTTAAAATTTTCATGAGAGTATCCCGTATTTTAGAAAATATTGTACGAAGTTCCTTGAAGTTACATGAAACTCCTTTTTATTTTTGAAAATATTAGGGGATTTTGTTCAATATTTTAAAAATATAAGCAATGCAATTTATAAAATATGAGAGAGAATGATGCATACTTTTCAAATCACATTTGAGTTATAAGTATTTTTGCCTTATTTTTATTATTCTAAATCAGAATCATAATACAGTTTTTTTAAGTCTATCCTTTACATACCCATTTCTTATATACATTCCCGATTTAAACACTACAAAATTATCTCCACTCACATTGATGTTGAAGCCATGTTTCATCAGAAGCGTCATTGAGACTAAGTTCTTTGTCATTAACAAAACATAAAGAATATTGGTCAGCATCACAATTCTTTTGGACGTCATGTTCAGGAGCATTTTACCTTTCATTTCATTTTAGTCGGAACAACATTTTCCATATATATTGTTTCTCCTTCGACATGCTCGAACATGAAGAATTGGTTCTTATCTATGCAGATATGGCGTGTCGCTCTTGTGTCGTGCCACAATTTTTTCTTGTTTGATTATACCATATTTTTCTCAGAGACGACGCACTTTAAATCAAACAACACCCCCTCTCCAATAATGAGGTTTTCCAGGTTCTCCCCTTTATTTCTCCTCGGTACCTTGCAGTGTTTTGAATAGTGTTCCAACTTCCCGCAATTGAAGCAATTTCCCTTGAAGTTGCTTGTTGATTTCGCTTTATCAATTCGTCTAAATAGCTTTAGTTTCTAATTTTCTTTTTCTATGGGCTTCCGGGATTTTCCAAGCTTTCCATTGTTTCTTTAAGCAATTTTGGAACGAGAATCTTGACGTTTATATTCAGTCTTGCTTTCAAGAATCAGATGTTTCCAACCTGTGAAGTTTGATCTATGCTTCTATTTGATTTGAAGACGACTGATCAGTCTTGTTAAATCTATTTCTTTTCCGTTTTCATTTCAAGTAGATCTTGAAATCATCCAAATTAGTCGGTAAATTTTCAATAATCCTCACCACTTGGAGCCCTTTATTCAACATAATTCCATCAATTTGGATTTCATGCAAAATCAGATGAAAATCATCAAATTATTTTCTAACACTCCTCACATTCACCATCTTGAAATTTCAATACCATTCCGCTGTGATTTTGTTGCACCAACATCTTTGGTCAAGTATTTTTTCATCAATGTTTTCCACAACTCCTTAGTTATTTCATCATGCCGGTAAACACCATACAAGGAGTCACTTAAGTCGTTCAATATATACTTTTTGCATGTAAAATTTGAGCGTTTGTAAGCTTTGAAAATTTGTATCTTTTAAATCTTCCGATGATCTTTCAAGCACAGTAGGTGTGTCCACAATCAACCAATCCTTCTAACTCAAAATTGTTAGATAGAACAACATTTTCTGCTGCCACATCTTAAAATTTTGTCTATTGAAATTTTCTAATTTCTTAGGCGATGCAGCAACAAGTTGCCTGAAAGTAGTAACAACATGTTGCATTACATGGCTTGTAACAACAACAAATTGTAAACGATCCAATTTATCTAACTGTTGTCCAGCGGACACAACAAGACCTTGTGGAAGTCCTACAAGCACATGTTGTGGATAAGGCAGAACAACGAGATGTTATCTTATGTTGGCATCAATATGATGTCATTTTTGTGTCCAGCAACAGGCTGGTTGAAGGTTGCAGCAACTGGCTGTGCCTCATCCATTGCGGCTTTGAAGACTTTTTCGTAGACTTGTTTCGCATCCTTTTTTGCAACAACCCTTTTGGCCGCATCTATGTTTAGCAGCAATCTGAACACCATCTTTGCTTTTCTATCAACCCCATTATGAATAGTCTCAATTATGGTAGCATTTTCAGGCACAATCTAGGCACTCTCGATTCAGATGCGGATCTCCATATTTCATCAGTCATCTCAAAGTATCAGTAAGAGTTTGCTTTAAGGTTGTTAGGAAAATTAAAATATGAAAAATAAGATGGCAGAAATCACTATATTCGAGCCTTGCATTACATGAAAGATTATTAAAATGAATTTGGTCCACCATTGATCGATTTATAAGAAAGAACGATTTGATTTGAAACCATAGATTCGGTAGTGAACCAAATGTAAGCATTACTTAAAAAAAAAAAAAAAAAAAAAAAAAGTTAGACATAAAATTTTTGTTTATAAAAAGAAAAAAGAATTTACGAAAAAAAAAATTGGTATTGTTTTATAAAATATTGTTTTTATTTAATGAAGATGAAGGACAAACTTTTGAAAATATATTTTCAATGAAATCCATAGCCCTCACCTATATAATTTGTGAAGGTTGCTTTAATTTCTGCACATTTCATTCTATTACAATATAATTTCTCTATCTATTAATTATATTTTTAATTAGTTAAATACTTGGGGTGTTTGTTTAGTGTTTTGGTTTGGGTTTATTTTTTATTTAAAATATAGATAACTGGGTGTTTGTTTAGCATTTTGGTTTGGAGTTTATTTTTTATTTAAAATATAGATAATTGTTATAAAAATAATATTTTAAATTAAATATTAATTATTTGTGAAATAATAAAATATATAATATATATATTGGGAATGATGTTAAAAAAATATTAAGTTGAAAGCACAATTCCTTCAAAATCACATAAAAAAATGGATTTAATATATATAATCAAGTTTAACCTACGTGGTTCACAATTTTATAATATATGTAATTAAAAAAATTTAAAATATGTATTAAAATATTTCAATATCCTAATTATTAATTTCGATTCCATTGAATATTTTTTTATTAATTTTTGTCATATTCAAATAAAAAATTTATCTATTTTAATCTCATAGTTGACAAAGACTGAACACAATCGTATTTGATGATTTAAAAGAGTGATTGGGCGCTCGGTACAATCAATACGGCCGTGACCGTGTGATTACCCTGATTTGAACATGACCGTATTCATGTCCCTGTTGACAGCCATATTTTAAATACGATTGTGTTCTTATCCGTGTTCATATTCGTGTTCATGTTCTTATGTTTACTATTCTATTTTTAAGATGACTATGCTCAAAGTCATGTTAATCAATATTTTAGGTCATATGCATTATTATTTTTACCTTTTTTTAAATTATTTGATTTATCTTTATAATTTAACAATTATTTTTTATATAATTATTTAATAATATTTAAATAATCAAATTTTAATATGCTAAGAAATAATTGCAAAAAAATTATTAAAATAATATAATATTAATATATATTTTTAATAATCATAATTATATATATTTTTTATAATTTATAGTAAATTTTTTTAAAACAATTTTTAAATTTATAATTTTAAGAATAAAAAATAATTTAAAAATATTTATTTTGACTAAAATAACTATAGTTATGCATTAATTATATAAATTATTGATCTTGTTTTAGAATTTTTTAATTAAAATATTATAATTTTTTAAAATGATATTTATAATTTTTATTTTAAATTATAAACTAAATTATTTTATATTTAAATTTTTAAAATTATAAATTAAATTTATTTTAAAAATTTTACTATAAATTTTGTAAAAATATTTATAATTACGATTATTAAAAATATATAGTAATATACTATTATATTTATAATATTTTTACAATTATTTTTTAAAATATTAAAATATGATTATTTTTTATAATATTAAATAATTAAAAATAAATAAATTATAAATATATATATATATCAAATCATTTGAATAAAAAAGTAAAATAATAATACATAGGATTATATTCAAAAATATAATCATGATCATAACCATATTAAAAACATAGATATGAGCAAAATATGACAAAGTTTACAACATGGAATACGGTCATAATGAGGTCATCACCATGGCATGAACATGTTCATGCTATGTTGAGCCAATAAGCCAACACTATTGTGTTCAATAGTGAATTGATAAATTTTTATTTAAATAAAATTTAAATTAATAAAACGAATTTTTAATGGTACAAAATTGATAATTAATATTTATGATATTGATTGAGGCCAAAATGGTTTTTGCGAAAAAGAAATAAAAAAAAAAAAAAAAAATCCTAAAGTTTACGACAAAGTGACGACCAAACACAGTGTTCGTGATTCCTCCATCTTCATCTTACCCAACGAAATCAACACGGAGACGATGCTTAATTGATCGATGCACACGACCTACCCAGCTAAGGTACGCTAAGTTGAAGTGATTGTCATATTCGTATTAATTAATTTCTACTTTTTGGAATCGCATTCTCTTTTACAACCCTCGAATTAGGGTTTAGAGGACGTAAACACTCGCACTCACTTCTATTATCCCCGTAATCTATTATTATTGTTTCAGAATCATTACTTACATAAATTCGTATATATATAATATATTAGTGATGGAGAATACGGGGAAAGAGTATTTGGGAGATTAGTGATGGATATTCAGCTGTGGTATGTGTGGCTCCACCTCACACAATCACATGACTCATTGTAGCCCAACAAAAAAATAAAAATAAAAATAAAAGAAAAGAAAAAAAGATCAAACCTTTTATGCTTTGCTGTTGTTTTCTTTTTTCTTCAAATTTTCACACATTGCTTTCGGTTTCTTGATTCTAATAAACTTTAGATAGTGTTTTTATCAAGTCAAAAGAGGAAAGGAAACAAAGAAAGAATTCCAGAAAGACTAATCTTGATGGAGCTCTGTGGAGTGCCATCTCTCTCTTGGGGAAAGTCTATTTCTCACACTATCAGTTTTCACCAAACCTTCACTGTAATGCATTATCCATTTCACCAATTCTATTGCAATTGTGTCTCCAAGTTGACTTGGGGTCGTCTCTTTGTTTTGTTTTGTAGGTTTGGAGGTTTAGGAGGATGAAGGCATTCTGTGTTAGCAATGGCAGCAGTAATTCGGGGCCAGGGCAGAAGGTATATATATATATATATATATATAATTATGCTTCGTTGTTCCTTTTTTTTTCTGGAATTTCATGGAGCTTCCAAGAGAATCACAAAGGGTGTGTTTTCTTGTGTTGTGGAATGTTGTTGGTGATTTAAGTTGTTTTGATGTGGTTGGATGTAATGTTGTGCACAGTCTGTATATTGATGATATTGGGCAGGAAAGGAAAAATTGATAGTATTGTATAGTACAAAAGGACGTGAAAACACAAGTGAACAAAGCGTAAGTAAAGAATGCAGCAGATGTTGTGTGGATTGGTGCCATGAGGTTGTTAGATTTTGTGTTGTTATTGGTAGGCTAGATATCAGGGTGAGCCTATTTGCAAGTTGAGAGGTATATTCGATATTCGGTTGTATTTATGAGTAATGAGACGTCGTTTGGTTGTAAGTTAGTTGTGATGTAATATATATTTGATTTAAAAAAAATTATGTTTTGAAGGTTTTAAAAACATATATTCAATATTGATATTATTTTGTAGAAAACAAAATTTTATATAATCCAAACAATATATATATATATATAGTTATACATAATTAACATATATTTAGTAAATGATGGATAATTTTAAATGTATATATATTTGTTTATTTAGAAGGGAGATAGAAATAGGAGATGTTATCCAAAAGAATTGCATAAATAGTTGAGATGAAAAAAATTGGGAGCATAGTGTCAACTTGTAACCTAAAAGACCTGAATGCTAACTTGTGGTCTTATTTCTTAGCTGTTCCAAGGATAAATTTGGGCAATGTTGGTAAGTTTTTATTCAGATTCCATTCTGTTGTTATTTCATTCCAAATGAAAAGAATTCTATTGATTATAGATCTTGAATGGTTTTTTTTTTTTTTTTTTCTAATGTTGCAACATCACATGAATATAAATTGTTATTTGCAGCTTTTAACTGTATGGTAATAGAATCGTCGCTTACCAAGCATGTTTATATGTGAGCATGAGTGGTAATATTAATGATGTTGTATGTCTCACTCGCATGATTGTCTCTGTCTGTTTTGTTTCATTGTCACTTGTTCTCTTCTTGTATGTCAGCCAGATGAAATGGTTGTTTCAATTACTGGGGCCACAGGGTTCATCGGGAAAAGGTTGGTCGAGAGGTTACATGCCGGTATGCACACTTTATGTTAATCCTTGTTTACGATCAGTAACTTGATAAGCGTTCAGAACTTCAGATTCTCTGTTCCTGATTAAAGGAGGTTAACGAGTGGGCTTAGATATATTTTAGAAGTGTTTCAAAGTTTTGGATTGCTTTAAAAATAGTAACAGAAGTAGAAAAAAAATATAGTTCTGATGTAAATATAAATAGACGTTGGATGTGATAAGAATGAAGAATAGGTTTTTTATGTACTATTTTTGGTGAGTAGTACGAAAATAAATTTGAAACATAAGCAAACAGAGTGTAAGTTATAGAAGAATTGCTGAGGGTTTTTGCTCTTTGTTTTTCCTGTACAATGTAGATAATCACCGTGTTCGAGTGTTGACAAGGTCGAGATCAAAAGCCCTGTCAATTTTTCCGGGTAAGAAGGTAATGAAGCTAGAGTTTCATATTTATCTTTCATCATATAACTATGCTTTAAGTTTTATGATGGAGTTAATTGATGGCTCAACTTGCTCATGTTTTTCTCCCTCCTTAATTAATAAAATTCCTTTAGGCTTGTTTGGTTTGATGGATTTAGATTTGAAAATAGATATTAAATGAACGAATGTGAATTACTTTACAATTAAAATCTTTTCTAATTGAAATGAAACAGTGTTAGAGATTAGAGAGTATTTAAAATATTAAAGGAGATGACTTTGAAATCCATTGTTCATTTTAAATATCTTAACCCAAATTACTCCAACCAAATGGGGCCTTCAATCATTTCTCACTAGTTTCATGTGAATAAACAACAGCACTTTATATAATAATTCTTTCACTATCACATTCCTTCTCTTCTTCATTGAACACCTTCATCATTCACTTTCTGTTCAATCGGAACATATTGCCGCGAGTAGGGAGGGACTTTCCGAGACTTGTGGTTGCGGAGGAGCAAGATTGGCGAAATTGCATTCAAGGTTCAACAGCAGTCGTAAATTTGGCTGGATTGCCCATAAGCACAAGATGGTCTTCCGATGTATGTATCATATCATCTCTGTCCTGCTCATACCGGCTTTTGCATCGTATAAGGGCTTCCATGTCTTGCTGCTTTGTTTAATTTTATATATATATATATGTGTGTGTGTGTGTGAACTGTCACTACAATTTTGCAGATCAAGAAAGAGATCAAGGATAGCAGAATCAAAGTCACTTCAAAGGTTTCCTTTGATCATAAATGCACACACTGAAACTCGAGTTTCTTCTCTAGTTGCAGGGCAAGCTGTTTCTGATGAAACCATGGTGGTGTTCCACCCCTATAGTAACTGTTGGTTTTCTATGCAACTCATTAGGTTGTAGATTTAATAAACAACTCCCCGGATGAACTTCGCCCCAAGGTTTTGGTCAGTGCCACAGCTGTTGGTTATTATGGTATGCATTTTCCTTGCTTTTCCATTTTAATACACTTTTGCTTACTTGTGTTTTGGAATGTTTTCAGAGTTTTGGGTTGTTTTGGATTGAGTTTTTTGAAGTATAAAATAATTATTTGAATGTGATGTTTTGTACAAAGTTTAGGTGATGAAAATGAAATTATATTTTCTTTTATAGAGGTAAATTATATGATATCTCCTTACGTTTTAGTAAAAATACACAAAACACTTAGTATTTTAATTATTGCATGAAACTTCCTTGTGTTAAATTAAAGTACGCACAAAACATCATTTTCGTCTAACACTGATATTTGGTTGTCAACATGCACCTAATTATGCAATTTTTATACAAATAAAAAATATAAAATATTTTAAATGACGTTTTTTTAATAAAAAAAAAACAAATACATAATTTATCAACCATTCATTTAATAGTTTTTTTTTTTTTAAAAACAAACGGTTACTTAATTTTTATTTTAAAAAAACTATCAAATGAAAGATTGATCAATTATTTATTATTATTACTTTTTTCAAATAAGACTATATAAGATATTTGACCTCTTTTATTTGTATAAAACTTTCATTGTTAGGTGCGTATTTACAACTAAACATCAGCTTTGGACGAAGATGGTGTTTTGTGCATATTTTAATTAAACACAAAGGAGTTTTATGCAACAAATAAAACAAATGGTGTTTTGTGCATTTTTACTACAATAGGTTACCTAGATTGAAAAAAGTATAGGAAACATTACACTTGTGTTTACTTGTTGATTTTCTATAGTTTTGGTTTTAGTTTGAATCATAGTTTGGCTCTTGCTATTATGTGAAATGAAATAATGTATTTTCCTAGAAAATTGTGATGATTGCATTAAGAAAATCTCGAAATAAACCGAGCTTAATTTTATCAATAATTGTTGGAATGCTTGGAATAAAGCCTTCACCACCAAATTTTATGTAAAAGCATTTTTAATCTTAATTACAAAAAAGAATGGGTTTGTTTGGTTCATATTTGAGAGTTTATTAAATTTTGGTTTATAAAGTAATATTTTGAAAGAAGAATGTTATTGTATATTTATTGAGAAGCTTATGGGTTGAATAGTAAAAATTTTGGTTTGAACTTGTTAATTATAAACCGTTATTCATCTATTATCTCAATCTACATGTGATCAGATTACATTACTGGTGTGTTCATTTGGTAGATTTTGATGGATTTTCTACTATTCATTAAAAAAAATTCTCAAAAATATCCAATCAAATACCTATTTTTTATTTTTTATATTATATTAAAAATCAATTTTACATTCGAAATATCACATCAACACCTATTTATATGACATCATATAACTATTTCAATTCAAAAAACTTTACTATTCAAATCTGAACTCAAATTTCAAACCCCCAAACAAACACACCCTACATATATATGCATCATAGTAGAATAATCTAGAGCGCTCCTTAAATGCTAGTTATTATTCCCTACAATTTACAATATCTCTAGGGAACATTCACATCCTTGATTATACTACACCTTCCCTTACAACTAACACTCCCTTTTAAGTTGGTGCATAGATGTTAGTTATGCCTAACTTGCTACAATAGTGATTAACTCGAGAACAATGTAGTGGTTTGATGAAGAGATCCACTAGTTGATCTTTTTTCTGAACAAACTATATAGTAATTAAGTTTTGTTGTATCTTTTCTCTCACGAAATGATAGTCGATGTCAACGTGTCTTGTGTGCTCATGGAAAACAAGGTTAAAGGCAATGTGCATGGTAGCCTGACTATCAGAATATATCTTAGTGGGAGTTGTAGCCTCCATTTTGACTTAAAGAGTTTGATGATCCACATTATTCCACATGTACCTTGAGCCATGACACAATATTCAAATTTTGCAGTGGAACGGGAAACTATGCCTTGCCTTTTTACTTTTCCAGTAAATCAGATTCCCTCCATAAATATGCAATAACTGCATGTGGACCTTCCATCTTCTTTAGAACCTGCCTAGTCGGCATCTGTTGAATATTCTATCTGGTCGAGTCACCGTAAGATAGTTTAACTTCCCAACTACCCTCTTATATCGCTAAGGGTCTTTGAACAGTTTTCCCTCCTCTGTCAATTGAATGTTCGGAACCATGGGAGTATTGCAAGGTTTTGCTCCCAACTTCAATTATCCAAAAAATTAAATCATAAATATGATATGATATGATATGATATGATATGATGGATATGGATATGGATATGGATATGGATATGGATATGAATATGGATATAGATATAGATGTGGATATGAATCTATCAAATCTAACACTTCCCCTCAAGCTGGAGCGTGCAAGTCAAACGATCTAAGCTTGTTGCAGATGGACTTGGATCTAGGATCTCTAAGAGCTTTTGTAAATATGTCTGCAAGTTGATCATTTGAGGACACATTTCGTATATATAGATACATACAACACTTTCTCTCTGATGAAGTGACAATCTATTTCGATATGCTTTGTTCGTTCATAAAACAAATGTGTAGTGCTGCTTGGTTATCACTTCATAACTTCATTTTCGTCACATCACAGAACTTGAGTTCACAAAGCAATTGTTTAATCCAGAGAAGCTCATATATAGCTAAAGTTATAGCACAATATTAAGCCTCAGCACTAGAGCGCGCAACCGCATCTTGTTTCTTACTTTTCCAAGATATCAAATTGCCTCAAATAAACACGCAATAACCAGAGGTAGAATGCCTAAAAATTGGAGACCCCGCCCAATCAGCACCTGAATATCCAACGATTTCAGAATGGCTATGATTTGTGTAAAGTAATCCTTTTCCGGGGACCCTCTAATATACCGCAAAATACGCATAAGTGCCTTCCAATGAGAGTCACATGGAGACTGCATGAATTGGCTCACTACACCTACTTGAAATGATATATCTGGTCGGGTGATAGTGAGATAATTAAGTTTTCTAACCAGCCTTTTATATCGTCCAACATCAATATCAATCAATGGCTCCCCTATCTTGGAAGCAATTTTGTATTTTGATCCGTAGGGGAATCCACAACCTTACATTCATTCATACATGTTTCTTCCAACATATCAAGAACATACTTTCTTTGAGATAGGATAACATCATTCTTAGATTGGGCAATCTTAATTCCTAAAAAGTACCGTAGTGGTCCCAAGTTTTTGGTCTTGAAATGATTGTATAAAGCATGGGTGATTTTGCTAACATAAATTAAATCAAATGAAAAATTAGGCAGGTTCAAAATTGTGGATAACGAAATGATTGGTGTAATATCTACAGTTCTTGACTAACAACTTAGGTAGTGGATTCATCTCCAAGCGAAACTAGGGGATTGGGAACAATGTGACTGATAAGCCAAGAAAATATCACTTACCATATGGTTGGTGACTCCTGAATTAATGACCCAATAACCGGAGGATGTGACAAGACATGTTCTGGAAATACCTGGGGTGACCAAAGCCAAGATAGTAGTAGATGAATGTTTTTGGTCCTCTTGAGACATGGACAACTAAGTTTTCTGACCTTCGAAAGATGCTACACGTGCGAATGGATCATTCTGCAAAGTCTATAGTATTTCTTAATGTCCTAGCTTCTTGCAATAGTGACATATGATGTCCGCTTTATTCTTATATGCTCTTTGTCGATTTTCACCTCTGAATGACTTGTCTCCTTGCTCAACAAGGCTCCATTGGAAGAGACCGGATGTGATCCGTCGGCTTGAAAGACTCTAGAGACCATATCCCATAGAGAAGTAATTTCAGAGCTCCTCGGTATATGAGATTTTACTGGTTCGCAATCCAGCTAAGAGAACTCATGATAGTCATCTATTCCCGCTATTTTTGCTGTTCTCTAACATCAATGCTAAAGTGCATGAGTTAATTAAGTTGTTCCCGATAAAAGGCTTTGCGATCATCATATATTCGGGTAACGTTCCCTTTACCCGAGTATAAGAACTCCAAAAATTGAATCAATTATTTGAGTGTTGTAGTAACTCACCAATCTGTAGATGTCAACGTCAATCGAATTTCTAATTTGCAGGAATAATCTGACGTCATTCCGAACCATGCCCTCCTCTATTTATCATCAATAGGGGGTCCTCTTCCAAATTATCGTCCTTCTCAATACTCAGTATGTATAGTTTTACAGTTTTGCTCTATTCTAGATAGTTCGATCCATTGAGTTTGTACTCGATAATCTTGGATGTAACTTGGGCAATTTCAAAGACAAAGATGGGCACCAAAGTATTACCGGAGCAGAACCCGCTCCCAGCCGCACCGACCGGAACACCTGACGCATGAATTTGGACGAAAACCCACACTGCTGTGACTCACATTCACTGGAATCTCACTAGACCGTTGCCATGGAGGTTGCCTGACACCATCGGACCCCCACTCGCCAGAAGTGTGATGGGATTCGGCCTAAAACTGAGTTTGAATTCCAAGCTTAGGATCTGATTATGCTGTCTTTAGCCCTAATGCTTTGATACTTTGTTAATTATAAACTAATATTCATCCATTATATCAATCTACATGGTATCAGATTACATTACATACATATATATATATATATATACACTTCATAGTAGAATAGTCTAGAGCTCTCCTTATATGCTAGTTAATATTCCCTGCAATTTACATTGTCTCTAGGAAACATCTACATCGTTAATTATACTACACATTCCCATACAGCTAACAGAACTCAAACCAAACAAACTCAATATGGCTCTGTTTATAATGGCGGGAAGATGTGTTTATAATAGAAATATATTGTTTTACTTGAAATGATTTATAGTTATATAAAATTGTTTTGTTATTATTATTATTATTACTACTTTTGGAAGCATAATTACAGCAAACAAAGGCGTGTCTTCGTGGTTTGGATTATTTTGATATTTTTAATTTGAAATATTTTTTAATAAAAAATAGTTAATGAAAAGAGCTGCTAGCTATGAAATTTTGTATGGAAAATAGGTAGCGGGACTTTTTGTCAGGAAAAACAATAGTATAAACTATGCAAGGTGAAAACAAGATCAAAAGAACAAACATACCCATAGTTTTTCTTATAGCTGTAGTTATTCTTTTCTATCTATGTATTATGTAAACAAGAATCAATTCTATTATCTCGATACGATTGTGTTCCTTTAATGATTGATCTGTGTCATAGGTCATTCGGCCTGATTAACACAAGCTTTGTTACCACTTATTGATACAGGGACTAGTGAAACGCGTGTTTTTGATGAGCAAAGTCCATCTGGAAACGATTACCTTGCAGAGGTGAAGTAAATGAGTCAAATTACATATCCCTTGGTCTATTAGTGAACCATCTCCTTGAAAAATGTTCTGTTAGAAATACTATTGTTATTTGTTCCACTCATATTCCTCCTCAAAAAGTAGATCCCGCTCTAATAGCTCCGAATAAATTAAATACATGCATTATTCTTGTCATCAGAAATCACTGTTAGGATCGTTTGAAAAAAAAAAAAATGGTTTTTCTCAGGTGTGTAGAGATTGGGAAGCGACCGCTTCAAGAGTCGATAAAGATGTGAGACTTGCGCTAATTCGCATCGGGATTGTCCTTGGAAAAGAGGGTGGTGCTTTGGGTACGGTATAATTCTTTTGTCCATGTTGGTGTTCATCTTGTTGTTGAGCTTCAGCTATACGGGAAATATGTGCCGCTTATCTATAATATGACAAGGTTCAATTGCCTCACTAGTTAAATACTCGGGGCATACGTATACCCATGCTTGATAGGGCAATTTTCTTCAAACCTAGATTACTCCATGAGTGATAAATGTATTTTTTACTCCCTTATGTGGCATCAATTATCATTTTGGTTATTTAAGTAAAATTTATATAGATTAGTCATGTAATAATGCATAATATTAGATATTGACGTGTATATCTACTTAACGAATTGAATTTACATCAATATTTGATATTAAAAATTGTTGCAGCTAGTCCATGTTGACTCCGAAAGCATCGTATCAGCATATGTGAGAATATTCAGTACTATGATTTTCTATATAGACCTTTGTTTTATTAAGTGACTAAAATGATAGTTGATCCACGTATGAGAGTAAAAATACATTTATCTCCTCGCACAATATATCTGAATTAGGTCACATAATATTTTGTAGCGAAAATCGGGGCGCACTATTTCTATTGATTTAACAAGACTCAATTTTTATCTTCCAGCTAAAATGATACCCCTCTTCAAGTTGTTTGCGGGTGGTCCTTTGGGATCGGGAAGACAATGGTACCACTAGCTAGAGCTTTCAAATACTATTCAAGAGTAAAAGAGTTTTTACGGTCGAGGCTTATGTTAATGTAACAGGTTTTCGTGGATTCATGTGGATGATTTGGTGAACTTGATCTACGAAGCTCTATCAAACCCCTCGTACGAAGGTGATTGTAATTTGGGAGATTCTACCCATCCATAGTCTTTTACCTCTCTCACTAAATGCACAAATTTCTTAATAGGGGTGATCAATGGGACGGCGCCTAACCCTGTGAGGCTATCGGAGATGTGCGATCATTTGGGAGCTGTTTTGGGGCGGCCGTCGTGGCTGCCTGTCCCGGACATGGCTCTCAAAGCTGTCTTGGGAGAAGGTGCCACTGTGGTAAGACATACATTGGAGATTTTTTGGCTCAAGTGTAGTGATCGATAATGGATGATGATAGTTGGTTTTATTACAGGTTCTTGAAGGGCAAAGAGTGGTTCCTAATAAGGCTAAGGAATTAGGATTTCCCTTCAAATATGTATACGTCAAAGATGCTCTTAGATCGATCGTTTCTTCGTGAGTGTGAGTAACTAATTATTGCATCCGATGCTTGGATTGTATTTCCACTATATATATATATATATATATATACACACTACTTTTCACATAATAAGTTTTATTGTAAGCCAATACTCTGAATAATTAGATTCTACTCACTTGCATTACACTCCAGATTTCAATATCAGTTCTATGTTATCTAATCAATAGTGTTGTTCATATTAAGAAATATATATATATATATATTATGTTGAAAATTGATATTTTTAAGGGGATATAATGTATATGTTATACAAATGAATGTATATATTGTATTATAGATAAATGTGTGTGAACAAATCTATTGAAACAAAAGTATTGTATTCCACATTTTATTCGCAACATAGAGTGTAGTTGATTTTAAAGATGAAAGTTTGATTGAAAATAATACATCTAATTAATATTTAATTTATAGTGTAATATAGAGAGTTAAACAAACTTGAAATATGTATTTAAATATTTTAGATATTATATTTTAATAAAATATAAATAAATAAATAATATAAATGAATTTTATAAATATATAGAGAATTTTCAATAGATCTCGTATGTACAAAAAATTGAATGTATATTAATATATTTATTTGCCATTATCCATTTTTAAAAACATCATCAAAATATTTTTAGTTCACAAAAATTACTAATTTTTTATTATTTCAAAACTCCAAAACCCTTCAAAATATATAGTCCAAACAAAGGTATAATATAAGAGAGAAAACTGAAAGCATATTGCAAACCTAAATTGAAACGCTAATTAAAAACATTCATTTTTCTCTTCTCAGAAAATATTATTAAAATAAATAAATAAACAAACATCAAACCTTCAAACTCAATCATGGCTGATAACAAGCATGCCCTTCATGCATAAAACATTTACTTCTCACATTTGCCCCTAAATGAAGTCGAATAGAGAAATAGAGAGAGCGGAAAGATGTGTATTGGTGGTGATTTTAATGCTTCTACTATCTTGCAAGTATAGAAGAGAATGAGAATTCAAGATAACATTATTAAAAAATAAAGAAATAAAATGAGGTTAGAGCAGAATCCAATAATAGTGGTATGGCACACAAAGCAAGACCATGTCAAAGACACAGCTATCCTCCTATCACTATCACCATTCTTTGTCTACTTTCGAGATAAGGCTGCCACTAATACGAACCAATTTGATGTCAGCCAAATTAATTCAAGGGCCACTGCTAAACTAACTAATTTCCAAACTGCCCACCAATCACATTAACTCATCTCTTGTATGCAAAAACAAATAACAAAAGAACAACAAACAAGGCAATAATAAATAATGCATATCCCAAATTCCCAATTGCCTTGAGACACTTTGCTTTTCCCACCGGAGAACACAACACACATGTGCATGAATCATCGATATTATTTGCCCCCACATTGGACCACCACATTTCTTTCCAATAATATATACATATATCTATATTATGGCCAACAGCTCACTACCAAACACTCGAATACGCATAGACATACACACATACATACATGTATTTACTACAAGGACTGATCAGAGTGTTGTTTAGCACATGATAACATTGCACCCAGAACAAAGTTGGAATTAGTATATATCATATGAGATTTATTATTGTGTATTCAACATTATCATGTGCCAATTAACCTTAATCAACAGACTAACACGACATTACCATATGATATGAGATGACAACAATTATGTAATGTAATCATCTATTGTATTGTACTTTATGCAACCAAATCAACATACTCTTAACAAAAACTCAAAACCCTGTTGTCCAATTGCTGTATTAACATATAACATCTGTTGAAATCAATCAATCATATAATGTGCTGTTTGCAATATTACCATATCTTGAGTAACTTTAATCAAGACCCTAACATCCAAGGGATATATATGGGTAAAGAAAATCCAAATTCAAGAACCCAAACAATAGATGAGAGTAGCAGCCAGTCAGCACATTGAAATCCAAGACATGAGTAACACATTACATTACTAGATAAGATAAGATGGAGAGCACAAGGACAGCAAATAGGCAGGCATATCAATCACCAATTTATTACATAGTAATGATCAGATCAGCTCCTTTTACTAAGCATATTCGTTCGTTCATCAACACAAACTAGAAAATGGCAATGAACAGCAACGTAACCATAATAATAATAATAATAATAATCATAATCATAATAACAAGGAGCAAGTAGTTTCTGCAAAGACTATAATAAAAACCACATAGCAGCAGTAGGGAGCAATAATAAGAAGGATCTCGAGTAGATGAAACAAGCACCAAACCACACCATTTGAGCTTCAAGAGAAACCAAACCTCAAGCAACGCAGTACGACCACGGCTCGTCTTCGGCACCACCAACAGAATCACTCACAGCAGCAAAACCAGTTTCATCGCTGCAATAGTAATAACCAGTGTTGCCCGAAGCAGCCGTGAGGCTGCAAGAGGTGGCCGGAGCCAAATAAGGCATGTTGTTGAAAGAGCAAGTCAGACCGTTGACAAGTGCATCGCTGCCAACATCGATGTACTCCTCGAGACGGTGCTTAAGGGTCTCGAACATTAGCTCGGGCTCGTACTGCATCATACGCAGCACGTCCCCACAAGAAGGTCCCGGCATGGCGCACGTCACAGCAAAGCCATGAGGCCCGTCACTCTGGGAAATGCGCACCACACTCGGCCCGCCGAAAAGGTTGTGAAGCCCGCCAAGAGACTCCTGGTATGCGCCACTTAGAAACATGCCGAGATAGTACGGGGCACGATCGCCTGCCAATTCATGCAAAGGTAGGCTCGATTCGCCTCCAATGAACTTATCGATCTTTCCATCACTGTCACAGGTCAGGTCCGACAGTATTCCCCTGACTGAAGGCTTCTCGTCGAGCTTATGGATCGGAATGATCGGGAAGAGCTGACCAATGGCCCAGAAATCGGGGACTGAAGTGAAAACCGAAAGGTTGACATGGTAAGTGCGGACGGGATCTGAAACACCAACAGCTTTCGACAATAACTCGCATATGCCATCGACTGCAGCAAGCTGTTCCATGCCCAAAGACCCGTCTTTGAATTGATCGACACATCTCTGTTTCAGCTGCTCGGCATACAGCAAACAAGCATCGTAATCGCATCGAAGTGCAGCAGCCGATAAGTTCCTGTAATCAGAAATCGCATCATCATCGGTCAATCGCTCTGCCAAATACTGCTGCCCCAGGGCCGAAACTTGCGGCTGGGATTCATAAGGAGTCGCCGAAACAGCTTCGAACACTAAAACAGAGTGGTGAGAAACAATGGCACGGCCACTTTCACTACAGATCACAGGATGCTTCACCATCTTGGCATCGCAGACAGACTGAATTGCTTTGACAACCGCAGCAGCATACTCTTGGAGACTGTATCCGACAGAGATGTCGGAATCCTGAGACTTGGAACCGTCGTAGTCGATTCCGAGGCCTCCACCTACATCAATAACCCTCATGGAAGCTCCGAATCGAGCAAGTTCACAGAAAATCTGAGCAGCTTCACTCACGCCATCGGCAAGTAGATCAGTTGTGGGGATCTGAGATCCAATGTGGAAATGCAGCAGCTGCAGGCAATCCAGCATCTCGTGTTGCTGTAACTTCTTAACGACGTGAAGGATTTGCGTCGTTGTAAGACCGAATTTCCCTTTCTCGCCGGAGGTGGAGCCAAAATGGCCGGAGTGCTTAGTCCTCAGCTTAGCACGGACGCCGATGACAGGACGGACGCCGAGGCTCTTACTAGCTTCAATCACGATATCCAATTCCTCCTCTTGCTCGAGAACAATAACAGTATTCAAGTGCAGCTTACGAGCAAGTAAAGCAAGGGATATGTACTCCATATCCTTGAAGCCATTGCAGACCAGAAAGGCCTCGGAGCTTCCACGGCAGAGGCAGCTCATAGCCAGGAGAAGCTCTGGTTTGGACCCTGCTTCAAGACCAAATCGGAAACCTGATCCGAATTTGACGATATCTTCCACCACAAACTTATCCTGATTGCATTTTACAGGATAAACGCCTTGGTAATGCGCCTCGTAGCCTTGCGATTGAATCGCGAAATCGAAGGAAGCCTGGAGAGTTTCGAGGCGGTTTTTCAGGACGTCGGGGAAACGAACAATGAGGGGAAGGGGAAGCCCAAGGCCACCGGAATGCTTCGGATCGGTGGCCTTCTTCACGACCTTGAGAAGATCGATTTCCTGGTGGGGAAAGGTACTGACGCCGTGGGGACGGACGGAGATGTTGCCGCTAGGGTTTACAGTGAAGTAAGAAGCGCCCCAGCCATCGACGCGGTACAGCACTGACGAGTGGGCGGGGGACCAATCCGCCATAGCCGCCGCCACCGCCGGTTGAGGCTCGGGGAGCGTGCTATTCCAGTTGGAGAAAGCGTAGGGAGAGGCGGTTAGGGCAGCGTCCACGCAACAGGCTATGGCAGGCATCTCTGATTCCTGCTTCTCCGATCTAACACGGATCTCCTCTGTTACGCTCCGATTGAGTCGCGAAAAAAATTGAAACAAAAAGAATCAAAGAATCGAAACCTACAAATCCAGGATTAGTTCTAACAATCGTAATTGAGCGACGGTTGTATCAGATGGGGGCTTTAGAACCCGCCGAGGCCGGAGCCCCGGCTACCCCCTCAAACGAAGCAAACGAAGATCTAGGTCACGACAACACGGTAGCTTGACCCACTCTTACAGCACACCGAAATCCCCACGCCTACCCCTCAGAAGAAGCGAGAAATCGACCGCGACGGGAAAACGCGCAACCGCCGGAGAATTCGAATCGGACACAACTCTAAACCGCGAGAACGAAACCTACCATGCAGATCGCAGAAAAAACAAAAGAGAACGAACGAGAAGAAATGAAACCGACAAAGACGGCGGCGACGGAGCGAAGCTAGGGTTCCGGCGTGTTCGCGGCGCCTGAATGAACTGTGTGAGCGAGAAATGCATGAGCGCCGATGCCCCTTTTATAAGGAAAGTATTACAGAGTAATCCCAAATGTGGGTTTTCAATTTTTTTTTCACAACCAAACACGGCCTTACCATTTTGCAATTATATGTACTGAAGTCATAAAAACCGCAAAATCGCAATTCAATTCACCTAACCTCGAATTAAATAGGACGAATCACGTTTTATTTTTTCATCGTAATTTTAATTTTATTATTAGATTTTCAGTGGATTGTTATTATTTTGTAATATGAATAGAGATTTAATTTGGATGGTTGGGAGAATTTTCATTTTAATTATTTTTATTTTTATTAGGGCAGGTAAATGATCTGCTCCGGGTAGCCGCGTGGCCGCCAGTCCATGGACCCACAGTCCCGTTGAATGAAGACTCCTTTCAATTTTCAACGTAATACTCGCTGACCGTGGACCGCAATTCCGAGCTACCTTATAAATAACGAATAGTCATGCTACTTCTCTCTCCGTCTCATTTTAAATACTATTTTATTTATTATTTATTTAATTATCACTTTTTTTATTTAATAAATGATAATTTGTTTAATTTTTAATAAATTTATGATCTTTAATAAATTTCACAACATAAATATAAATCAATTTAATCAAATTTTCAATTTTTTTACATACAGAATTTATACTTCGTGTGGGTTTGTTTGAGGGATTGGATTGAATATAATACACTATTCATTTCTCTTTTTTTTTAAAAAACTATCAAATTAAACAATTATTTTTTATTTTTTATAATACTAAAAATCAATTTTACATTCAAAATATCACGTCAACACCTATTTATATCACATCATACAATTATTTAAATTCAAAATTTTAACTATTCAAATCCAAACTCAAAATCCAAACCCTCAAACAAACACACCATTTATATCTCTCTTAAATAAGTAAATATTTTTTATCTATATTTAAATCTTATTTTTTTATAATAAACAAATAAATATTTTATAATAAACAAATAAACTTACTTGTATTATATAAAAATTTTATTATTTACAAAATAATATTCATATTGTATATATTTTATTGAGATATAATCCTAAAAATATTTAAAATAACACTACTCATATAAAAAAGTAATAAAATAATATCATAACTTATTATTAGTAAGTTATAATCTACACTATTTAAAATATTTTGTCTCTAACCAAATGTAACACCCCCAATTGACTCGTACTGGAAATGTTACCGTCACACTATTATGACCCGTCCCACAATACAGTGTTAAAACTAAAATCAACTATAAAAGCGCATTATTATATAACAAAATTTGATTACAAATATTTGTAAAACACATTTCTAAACAAGATGTTTTTCTGGTTAAAAAATTACATATAATACAATAGATGTAAGTTCACTCACTCAGTCCATTTTTCTATATCCCGTGATGTCCCCTGTCCCGGAGGGGGCATGCATATCTGAACCAAATATTTTTCTTAAAAGCAATCTAGAAATTAAATTTATTTTAAGAACTAACGTAAAATATGTTATGTCATATTTTTTCAAATAAAGTCTAACATCCGTCAATCATTAAATAGGTGTCACGTCATGTCATGCCAATAGTGAAATGATGCAACAAAGATATTAAACTCGACAACAACGTACATGCACATATATATACATCCGTCGAAGTGAGCAACCGGAAAAACCTCGGCTCCACAGGCTCACTGCATCTATTTAAGTGAGCAACCGAAATAACCTCGACCCCATAATAACAAGCTCACTAAACTATCATCAATAGCCAGAAAATTATCGACTCAATGAAGGACCTAATAAACCCATAATAATATAACGGTCTTCCGGTCACTTTCATATATTCACCATACGACTCCCACAATCAATACATGGATAGCCGAACGTTGTCGCTATTAATTACAAAACGCCCCATAGTTTGTGATAGCGAAGACAGAACCCCCACAAAACGCCCCATAGTTTGTCGCTATCTCGTGCGCCCTAACGGGATCACGTTTGGAGTTTGACATACGATCCTAAACTGGTTGACCTCACTAGTGGCCAGCCTTATTAGTGGAACAACACCTAACACGAATAATTAGACCAAATACGTCTCAATTACAATGAGTCTAATCCTTAATGACCGTGCGATTAAGTCACCCAGTTGTCCAACTACTATCATCCACTATCGTCAAAGTATTACAGTACATTGGGGTCGAATATCCTAACCCCAGATGATGCCCTCGCCTAGCACTACCACACATGACAACTAAACGATAGATTCATAAAACATAACCGATAAACCGTGCAATATGTGTGCAGTATGTCAAATAACTGAATTTATCGAAAATGACTGGTGAAACGGCTCACCTATCTACCTTTTCATAAATTCACCAACGCGATCAAATACGTATATCAAATATCATAAACCATGAAGTCTCCCACATGCATACACACACATATATATAAACATGCACTGACAAAATGATTCACATAATATCACATTAACATATTAATCATAATCGCATGCAACATTATATCTAATTTCTTAAAATTAGATTTAATTCCCTACTGCTTATCTCTTATCGACACTTCCTAGCTTTTGCAATCGTACACAGATCTCCTCCAATGTACACATGCCCCATTATTTACTCAAAACAAATAAGCTATATGCTTATTCATAGGAGCTACCTGCTTATTCAAAAGTTAATTTTTATAATTAGCTCATAGGGCTTCAAACCTTTATATTTAGTAGAATACAATATTTTAGCTATAAAACTCTTATATCTCATAATGTTTATATCGTCTGATTATTAAATAAAAATACTTTAAGATATGAATTAACAGACAAGTGCAATACGCTGTCATTTTCAACCCGACTTGGATTGATACAAAATTCTCAAAATATAACATTAGGACTACGAATAGACTATTAGCTAAAGAAATTAGTCGATTAAATAACCAAATAGCCAGTTATGAATTTTTGAAAATTTTTTAATTTAATATCTCAAATATCTAAATTCATATTAAAATCTATAATTAAACTCTACGTATAGTAAAGAATATAATACCAAAGTCGAATTTAAAATCGAACGGCTAAATCTTTTCCTTTCTTTTCTCTTTCTTTCTTCCTCCTCTTTTCTTCCTGCACTTCTCTGCTTTTGCTCGAAGAAATGTGTGGGTTTGTTTGTATATATATATATATATATATATATTCTGTTGACCCGTGCGTTGCACAAATTTTATAAATTATTAAATTTATATCGTATAAATAATTTATTATAAAAAAAATATTAAAAAATACAAATATATTTTGAATAAGTCAATCATAACTACAAAATATTATATAAGTACGTTCTCTTTCATTTTTATTTTTTTACACGAATTAACGATCAATGTGTAATAAAATAATATAATATTTAATAGATGACATTATATATAAATGTACTATATGATTATTACTTATTTATTTATTTTTGTTGCCATGAATAGATAATTGATAGTTTAGATATATAAACACATTCTATTAAAGGTTGAATGTACTTTCATTTACACAATTCATTCCATTCATCGTGGTTGTAAAATATACTACGAAACGTACTTGGAATAATAATATTGTCATCGTTGACATCAATATTTATCTAAGTAACTACATATTTTAAATAAAACTTTTCAGTTTTCATGATAAATGTAATAAAATTGTATTAAGATATTTTTATATTTATAGATTTTTTATTAAGTAACCTATTTTTATATAATTATATTTAATTTAAATTTATATTGTCATCTACTACTATTTATCTGATTATTATTCCATAATTTACGTTAATTGAATTTATTAGTTAATTTATCACAATTTATTTAATGTATATAACATCCAATACCTTTAAGTAATAATTTTTATGTAATTAAATTTTATATTTTCTTAATTAAGCCATTATTTTATATATAATTATATTTAACTTAATCTTTATTATTATCTACTATTTAAGTCGATTATTATTCCATAATTATATTTTTAAAAAATCTAGATAAAAAAAATATAAATAAAATTATTCATATATACTTCAGAAAATATAAATAAATTTATATATAAATGAATTATATATATATATGAATGATTAGTATGAAATATTTTTATAATTATTTTAAATTTGTGGAGAAGACGATAAATAATAAAAAAAAAAATCATAACTTGCACAACTCTAAGAGCTTAAGACTGTGATTTTTTAATGGATATTCTTTCAATACAGTACAATACATAAATAATACATTTAGAGAAAAATAAATAAAATTAATATGAAATTGAAGTCTATAAAAATATACATATAAAAAAAGTATGTTCATGTTCGAAAGCAATCACAAAATCAAACAAATCTATTAATAATAATACGATAAATACCATAATCGACCAAAAACTATTAGAAATAAAAATAAAAAATCATGTATATTTCATATAAAATGGAATTTTAGAATATATAATTATTATTAATAAAAAATTAACATCTTAGTATCAATCAAATACCACGAAATGTACATAACAAATATGCTCTGTAATATCTTCAATTAGTGGCACAATGATTCCAAAGATATAGTAACTTATCGTCTTCAAATTATATGCTATTCCAATATTCTAGAACTTAGACGAAGTAAAAGGGGAACGAGTATTGCAAGAGGTGAGAGTTGCCGGAATATCAACCGGAGACTTGCCGGAAATAATACCGAAAAGGGAGAAAAAAAGAATAAAGGAATATGAGGGAAAAAAATGCTCATAGTGCGTATAAAATGATTGTCTAGAAAGCCTTTTTTATAGGCAATTGAAATGAGATTTGTCATCAAATTCGTATTAATACCGATGTTAATTAAGCGTAATCACATATTTAATATTCGGTAACCTCCTTCCATAAATGTTTAAATTTATATCATTCATAATAATTAAAATTTATTTATATTTAAATAGATTTTTTTAATTAAAACATATTATTTAATTTTAAAAAGGAAAAAAAAAGTAATATTATAATATATTGATTTAATAAGTATATCAAAATTTTTATCTTTAAGAATATT